AAAGAAAGAAGAAAGAAAGAGAAAGAAAGAAAGAAAGAAAGAAAGAAAGAAAGAAAGAAAGAAAGAAAGAAAGAAAGAAAGAAAGAGAAAGAAATACTTATTTGTGCCGGGCAGTGGTGGCACACGCCTTTAATCCCAGCACTTGGGAGGCAGAGCCAGGTGGATCTCTGTAAGTTCAAGGCCAGCCTGGTGTACAAAATGAGTTCCAGGAAAGGCACAAAGCTACAAAGAGAAACCTTGTCTTGAAAAACCAAAAAGAGAAAAAGAGAAAGAAAGGAAGGAAGGAAGGAAGGAAGGAAGGAAGGAAGGAAGGAAGGAAGGAAGGAAGAAAGAAAGAAAGAAAGAAAGAGAGAAAGAAAGAAAGAAAGAAAATCATGAGTCAATTTGGGACTGGGGAGATGGCTCAGAGGTTAAGAGCACTGACTGCTCTTCCAGAGGTCCTGAGTTCAATTCCCAGCACCAACATGGTGGCTCACAACCACTTATAATGAGATCTGTTGCCATCTTCTGGCCTGCAGGGACACATGCAAGCGGAACACTGTATACATAATAAATAAATAAATCTTAAAAAAAAAAAAAGGAATAGAGGATGTTAAAGATGGAATGGCTTTTTGAATGGGTCTAAGATGTCTATAGTGGTCTTAGCTGCACCAAGCCCATTTTTAAAATCAATAAACTCTTGATGCAACCACATCAAATAAATGAATAAACTCCTAATGCAACTGCATCAAATCTAAAGATGCGGAATCGCATTAACATTAACAAGTTAATGTCATAATTCTAGCATGAATATTACTATAAACAATTACAATTCTTACAAACTTACATCCAAAAGCAAACTCTCAATAGAACTATTTACACTTTACAAACTTTAGCAAACATCCAAAAGCAATTTCTTAATAGAACTATACAAAACATAGTGTACATTAACACAAGTTAACATTAATGCACTCAAGAGACAGGAAAATATTTTTTTAGAAACATTAAAGAGACTGAGGAATATTAATTCCCTGTTTTCTTTAAAATTTTTTAAGCTTCATTTTGAGCCTGGGTAGAAAAAAATAAATTTCTCTATTCGTACACCAAACAATTCCACTTTTTACACAAACAGTTACATTTCTACACAAACAGTTCGGAAGTCACCAGTTAATAAAGCATATATGTGTATATAAAACAGTTCCACAAAAACAGTTCATAAGTCATCACAGTTAAATAAAATTGTAGGTGAGATCAACAGTGTCCCATTTCTGAGGTTTGCAAAAGTTCAAAAAGTCAGTTCTGGTAACACTCTTAAAGTTCCACTGAAAGCTTTCTGATTAGGGCCTGGCTCGTCACCTGCCCTGAAGTCTTTGCATAACTGTCCAAGTTGTAATGACTCTGAAGCAAATAGCTCCAAATATAAGGAGTCCCATTACCAAAACTTTTTGCAGTTCCCCTTGCCTGCAACCCAGTTCAAATCAGCATCTTTAAAGCCTCACTCTCAGCTACAGAGGCACTTTCAGCTAGCCTTCACCTAGGCCATTTGCTCAGGGCAAAAGCTGCTAGCTGGCTGGGGAAGACTTCTTCATACAGCCAGCATGAACCAACAGTAAACTATGCAGCTTTTGCTGCTGGCTCTGTTAAGCTTCCACAGTCCCATTCTGTCTGTGCCTCCTGTAACACACCAGTCTGCCCAGGACCCCAGTGTCCTGAGTCCCTGAGGGCTTGCTTGAGCTTCGTAACATGGCTGAATGCCACACCATTGCTATGAGCTATGGCTCTCAACATTGGGTCTGGTAGGAAACCCAACCTTGGTCAGTAGGGGCAGCTGCACCCCAGCTCCATTACCTGCTTTGCTGTGGATCCTCTGCATGCTACCCTACTTGCATGGTCAAATGCCGCCCCCAGGGTGGCCACATGGCTCTAGCCACACCCTGTCTCTGGGAACTAAGACTGCTCTTGGCGTCCAGTGCTTCCACACCATTCAGCCTGGAGTGCTGCTGCCTCACCTCAGCAGTTCCCATGTCTGCCTTTCCACATAGGAGCATGTCTCAGGTACTCGTCCAGCTGCTATCTCTGCTCCAGTTGCCAATGCCACTTCTCCACCTGGGACAGCAGCCTAGTCTCTGCAGGGCTTCCGCTGCTCACTGCTACTGCCTCTCTTGCGGTGTTTTCACTGGGCTCTGGCCACCAGGGACTCCAGCCATTGGGGTCCAAAGTCTCCACTGCACTCCAAGCTGCTGCTGCTGCCTGCCATTCACCTCTCTTGTGGTGTGGTGTCTTGGCTTGTCAAGGTAGAACACAGCCTGAAGCCATGTCCTTTGGCTGGCTGACATTTCCCTCACCATGGCTCTGCCATGACAGAAAGCATCTAGAACCCCTTGGCCTGTGCTGGCTCTTGGCCTCTGCCACCTCTGTGGTGATGCCCCAAAGGTTTTAGCCACTGATGCCTGGCTTTCTGAAGCAAGCGGTCTCTGAAGTGTTTTTTGTTGTTGTTGTTGTTCTCAGACTGCCAGGTTTGCAGTATCCACTGAGTTCTGGACACTGATTTCTGCATCCCAGGTCCCATCTGTGCTTGGGGATTAAAAACTACTCTATCCTAAGTCTTCACAATATCCTGACACCTAAAGCCTATTCTACCCTAATACACCTAAGCCTACATTTTTCAAACTAAACTTCACAAAACTTCTATGACTTACTTTAACAGAGAGAGAGAGACATAAACATAAACACAGAGAGATACTTGCTGCAACCTAACTTTTAACTACTTGCTTTATATTTACAATTTTACTCCTGAAGAATGGCATATCACCACCTCAACTTAATTCATTATCGGGCATGCCCCCTTAACCCTCAGTGCTCCTTCTCTTCTATCCACTGTACCTAAGCCCCATGTTGGGCGCCAACTGTAAGAGTCCAGTTCCTACCTTTAGAAGGCTTCTTAGGTTGAAGAGAGAGGGATAAGAAAATAGAAAGACAGACCTAGATGACAGGAAGACAGAAACACAGGATAGCTTTGAAAGGGCCTGGGTCAATACCCAACAGCGTCATCCTTTATTCAAAAGGGCTTTTTATAATATGCCAAGGA